TAGTGCAATGATTTATAAGACCTAGGCTTAGGAAGGAATTGATGCTCAGGTGCCTTGGAGAACACACAGTGGCATCTCCATGGTCATATTAACGGAGAAGAGGGTACAGAGAGCAAATCCAGAAGTCGCTGAATGTAGACTCCACCTGTCTCACCAAGGAATAGAAGACTTGACTCTATAATACCAAAAGAAATCTGGAACTTTTCCTAGGCAATGCCTTATGACATCTGAGGACTGATATATATTTTAACATGATTGACAGAAGAAAGGAGATAGATTGAGAAACTGCAACAAAGTCTATTTTACTTTCTGGTATTGAGTAAGCATTTTTCCTTTTCACAGTGCCATAATAACTATTAATTCTACTTTGTTTCCTTTCTAATCAATGCATGGAAGAAAGCATTTTTCTAGACAGTAGTTTAATGAGTCAGTTCTTACTGCTGTCATGAGACTTTAATCCTGTTTCTTGGCTTTTGTCATGCTTGGATATAATGCCAATATTTATCCCTTATTATCTTGTCAATAACATTTTTTCCTCAACTCCTTCCCTCAGGGGTTGACTTGGGCAATGCCTTACCTATTTTCTCATCACTGGGACAAAATACCAAACACCCATGATTTAAAGGAAGAAATGTTTATCTCGTGTCTTCAGCTCATGGTCAGCTGGCTCCCAGGCAGTAACACCACGGCGGAACAATATGGTGGAGGAAAACTGCTCACCCATGGTGGACACATAGGAAGGAGAGAAGGGAGGTGCTAGGAAGAAGACTATACCCATTAACCCTCCTCTTCAAACGGGCCACCTCCTAAAAGCACATTCCGCTATACCTTCATCAGTGGATGGACCCACTGGTGAACAGAGCACCCCCATAATCCAATTACTTTCCAAATACATGAGGCTTTGGAGATATTTTAGATCTGAACCATAATAACAGGCTTTGTCTTACTAGCAAAGTGGTTTTTTTGTTTTGTTTTTTCTTCCGGTACCAGGAATCGAACTAACGACCTTGCACTTGCCAGGCAGGCGCTGTGCCTCTGAGCTAAATCCCCAGGCCCCTTACTAGCAAAGTGTACCACTTCTCTCCTAGTTTTGACAACCTCTCCTTTCTTTCATTCTATTAGAGCTAAGAGTAGTAACTGCTCTAATGCTATTAGCCCAGGATTGCTGCGTTATGCTCAGTCTTTGTCTATTACTCTTTTGTAAACAAACTATCCATAAATTACCCTGTTTGGATATGCAGTGTGACTCTTGTAGAGGCCCCAACAGATCCATGCCTCCCACCAAAACAACATCCTCATATATGCTGTGTGCCATGATGCCACTGCCCACAAGTTAGTATGGAGCGTCTGAGATGTTTGAAGTGTAACAAGCACACTGGAATCCACAGACTCGGGAGGGAAATAAAGAATGTGTCTTGTCCACTGTCTGCTACTATCACAGGACACTATAGTCTGAGTAAATTGTAAAAAGTAAAAAATTAGTAGGATCATGGTTCTGGAGGCTGGAAAGTCCAACTGCCTGCGGCTGGCATCTGGCGAGGGCCTTCCTGCTACATCACTCTACTCTGGAGGGTGAGAGGGTGAGTGCTCAAAATGGAGAAAGGTGGGAAAGGACCGAACTCCCTCTTTTATAATTGACACACTGGAAATAACAGTCTTCATTCCTTCACAAAGGCAGAGGCCCCATGACCTAGGCACCTCTTAAAGCTCTACCTCTTAATGCTGTCTCAACAGCATCTAAATGCTAGCATGGGGGTTCGGGGTCAAACCATAGCAGAACACAAATGATTCAACAATTTTTAGACTGACCACATGTTAAAAATCACAGTTTTAGATGTATTAGACATGTTGCAAAAACGTAACTTTATCTGTTCTTTTCTACTTGTTTTGTGACTCAGTTTAACTGTACAGATTGGGGGGGGGGAATCTCTTTTTTTCTACTTCGAACGTCAGTACCCGCATACGAGAAATATTTGTTTGCCATGTGAAAACACAAAAGTGTAACATCTTAGCGGAACTGGGCATGAACTTGAAGCCCATCATTTTCCAGATGCAGAAGCTGAGGAATGTTTGTAAGCATTTATTGCGCTGTATGCTTCATTACAACTTGAAAACGGTCTTTGTGTAATTTTCCTTCTGCGAATCACACTGAAACACCTAGAGAAAGTTCTGAACTATATTAAACTTTTAAATTAGTATTAAAACTCAACTGGTTTGTCAATATTCAATTTTAGGACATAGAGGGACATTAAAGCCCATCCATTCTTATAGCTCATTTTTGTAAAACTCCAGCTCTTTATGGCCTCAGACTCCAGATTTTCATTGGTTATAGAATCAGCTAGGATTGGTAGATTATAAGCATAAAACCATATGCAGCAGTACTTACCCAGAAGGGCTCAAATACATCGATTCCACCCAAACACAGAGTTAGAACTACTCTTTCCCCTTCTGAAGTCAAAATAGGGCTTCCCTGACTTCCACTCCCACGGGCAGGGGAGGAATACCAACGAAAGCAGCGCTTCCTGACATCGGGCATTAGCAGGTCCTAGTGAGTTTCCAGGGACGTAAACACTGTGTCTGCTGTGGGCCCTTGTTAGCACCCACAGTGGACGCACGAAGCTGCCAGAACACTTCCCACATTGCCAGAAGTCCTGTGGAGACAAGGAAGCGCAGAAATAAGGGATAAATAGGACAGGAACAAAATACCACCTCATGCAGGTTCCACGGGCCACTTCCCACCATTAAACAGCAAGGCAGTTTGTATCCCCTTCCTGACCTGCTCTCCAGGGAGCACATGAAGAGGATATAAGGTCAGGGGAAGGAAGAGAAAGAGGAAGTCGCTCTTTATAAAGGGACATTTAACCCCTTGGAGCGCGCCTATGCGCGCACAGGAACAGGGCACACTCGCGCGCGCGCGCACGCGGACACACGCACACAGGAAGATGAACATTAAAACCACTTCATCAGAAACTGGACATGTGGATTTGAAATCGGAGCTGATTTTTTTTTTTTTTTACATTTTAATTTGTGCCTTTGATTTATTTATTGGCTCATTTCCTAAGAGGTTGTTTCTTTCTAGGCCCCGGGGTGCTCTCGATCATTTTAAACAACTTTAAGGGAAACCCATACGAAGCAAGGAAAAGCTCTGCGGGAAGAAAGGGTTTCGCTCAGAGGCAGGCAAGGCTCGAGTAGGTGGAAGTCAGAGCTCCTTCGCGGATTCTGTGGCCGCGGCAGTGGGGGCGTGGTGGGGAGCGCGCTGCTGCGAACTGCTGTAAACTAAACTTGCAAAGGTTGGGGCGCGAAGGGGATTCCAGGCAAAGGGTGAAGTGGGAACAATGTGGAAACAGAGGCAGGAGACACGTAGAAGGCAGGGGACCTGTAAGAGCTCAAGGCTGCCAAGGCGTGACCCGAACTGGAGAGGTCTGGGAGCCCCTAAAGGAGCAAGGGGCTCCCTAGACGAAGTAAGCTCCCCGAGACCGGCCGGCCCTGCCAGACACCCGGGAGCCGCAGCAGCCCTGGGATCTGCGCGCCTGGGGCGCGGACCCGGACAGCGGGGAGGAGCGGGTAAGGGGCGTCGCCGCGTCACCCCCGCCCTCTCAGTGCCATTGGGCGGCCGCGGCGCCCGCGCCACCTTTTC